GTCTAATCCACTGCACCATCGCAACCTCTCTATAATAATTATTTTGTATTAATTTTTTACCAAACTCAACTGCTAAATGTGCAACATGCAACAAGAAATAATTGAGTCTGTAACAATAATATAACAACTTACTTTAAAATTAGTTCAGTAGAAGTTAATAGATTATTTTTAATGAATAAGAGACAGCAGCAAAGGTTGTTTTGTGTATTGATAAACTGTAGAAAAAAGTTTGACATTTCAACTCTGGCAGCGGGTGGGCGTGTGCGTGAGAATCACCACAACAGTTTCACAGGATCGCTGTGTTGCTTTAACTTAGCTGATGCTTCAATTAGCCTAAGTATAAATGTAGAATTGTTTGCGGTCAGAATTTTTTGCTGGTCGCACAAAGTTTACAACGGACGACAATGTTCTTAGCATCTTAGACTGTGACACAATAACGGCAATAACATTACATACAGCTGTCGAAAATACCTCTCTCTCCCTGTTCTCCAGTCTTCCTTTAGCTTTTTGGCTAACAGCTGACTTGAACAATATAAGGTCCGCTGAGCTGCTGAGCTGCAGCACGGTCACGCATTCACGTCAGGGATGATGCATTCAGTAGTGCAGCGTTATTTGGATTAGTAACTGTAATAATAAAGCCCAACTGTTTTGGAAATAATAATCCGTTACATTACTCTTTACTGGGGAAAAGGAACATTGCAGGATTACTGCCCAACACGTTACGTACCACTGATGCACGACTGTGTTACACACTGCGCAGGTGTGGAATTGGCAGCTGAACGCAAACGAACATCCTTGTTGATACTTGGAAAGGAAGAAAACTTTAAACATGTCAGCTATAGATGTCCACAAATCCTTTCCATTTCACTCAGCCAGCTACTGATCTGATGTTCATTCATAAATTTTGCTCATGAATAGTGGTTACAAATAATGATGCTTGTGCATCGCTTTGTGCATGCCTACAGCCTGTGTCAGCTGGTTAATTTGCTTAATCTAAGCAGGTCTTTAGACCACGGTGGAAACGCACACAACAATGGGCTGAAGTTCCTTGAAAAGAGATCCACGTACTTTTGGTGGAAACCTGGCTATACAGAGCAAACAAACAAACAGCAAAAAGGTGCTGCAGATGTGCTTTGACAAGTTTCTATGAATGTTTTCATAAAAGTCACCGTTGACAAATAGATAATGTTTGAGTCTGTCACTTTAGGCAATCACATCCTCCTCTTTGTAGAGGGTAATTTTTATTTTTTTTTTAAACTCACATCGTCGTCATCGTCCGTCGACATGTCATCCTCATCATCAACGTCCACATTAACTGAGAAGTTCTCTGTGTCGCTGCTTTTGAGACTCGGGTGCTGTGTGAATAAAACAGTCAGTGAGAGCAGGAAAAGGCCACAGCAGTAATATTGGAAATTATAAATGCAGACACATAATTTGGTCTCGTACTATGAAACGTTACCTGTGAGTCTGTAACTTCACTCTGTAAAATAAAATTGCTGTTGTTAGAACTTACATGAATTCAATGAATCATTTGGTGTTAAAAGCCACGATGCATGATTACACTGTTGACACTGCAATTACAACCCGTGCCATACAGTGTGCACAGTCTGTATTTAAATGTGGACAATTTGGAACGAGTGAAACAAGTCTGACCGCGACTGTAAAACACATTTTTGGCCTACAGTCATTTTATACAAAAGATTTGCACTTCTATAAACAGCCAACAATGAATATTAACTTAAAGAGGTCATATTATGCTTTTTGGCTTTTTCTCTCTCCTTTATTGAGTTATATACCTTTTTTTGTGCATATAATAGGTTTGCAAAGTGAAAAAGCCCAAAGTCCAGCCCAAAGGGAGTTCCCATCTCCCACAGAAAACTCTACTCTGAACTGCCTGAAAATAGCTGGTTTGTAGTCCAGCCATTTCCCTTTGATCCCTGTGATGACACAGCAAAAGACATGCCCTCAAAAACAACGGTGGAAAAACTCTGAGCTGCAGCACACAGTGACAAGACGTCTGCCTGCTGCCTCTCTTCTGCCTTCCAAACATTAACTACCCTCCAGGCAGTCAGTGGAAAATAAAGTTGTTACTATGGCGTAGAGACAGAGCTCACGTAACACTTGGATGAAACTAACAACTATGGATGAAAGAAACATTTGTTATAGATTAATAACTCACCACTCTGAAACTCTTGCTCCAGTCCATGTTGCTAAGCTGGTCAGGGGATATACAGCTGCACCGAAGCCGTGTTTCCCAGCTTCTCACGACCTGCCCTACTCTGCTTCTGACTGGCTAGTAGTCCTTAAGTAGGAACTGCGCATGTACAATTCCCAACAAAGATCTTGTAGAGGTAAGATGTATCGCTCCATAGCTAAAACAAAGCGTTCAACACAGAGGGTGAAAAGAGGAGCTGCAGCAATGTGCAGTTTGACAAGAAAATATGGTGTTTTTTGAAAATTAAAATATGTAAACCTGTTCTGGTACAACCCCTAGATAAAATTTTGTACCTGAAAAAGAGCATAATATGACCTCTTTAACAACCAAGCAGTGGAAATCATGCTTGAAAAGCTTTAAATATGCCATCGAAAGAATTGTTATTATAACCGGTGGGAAGATCTACAAGTAAAAATGTACCAAGACATGTACATTTGAGCGGATTATACAAGCTTTTATTACCTGGAAACTCATGCTGTCATCATATGGTTCAGTAATGTCATTATACGGCCTCTGCTGCATGAAGCCTCCACTTCCAGGGCCCTGATGGAACACACATGGTGGAAAAAGCCCGAATGCAAAAGTGACATAACAAACAAAAGGCATTAAAATAAATAACTGTCGTGTTCCTGGCAGCTTACCTTGCGAATAGGACATATACATTTCCGTTTCCGGCATATGCGTTTCCGAGACTCGGGGCTCTGCAGTCCATGCTTGCAGTTTGCACACTGCCCGCAGTTCACTGTGTTGTGGCATCCCACGCACTGTCCACAAGGAATCCACTACATGTGACATGAACACAAACAGAAAAGCAGATTTGTTTATTCTAATGTACATGTCTCATTTGTAGGGCTGTATATAACGATTCTTTTTCAATTTGATTAATCTAACGACTAATTTTGTGTATACCAAAGGAAAAAAAAGTTGCCTATTACTCGATTAACATACCAATTTATCCTAAATAAATATCAAAAACATGTCCAATCAATATTTTATTCATGTGTTGAGATAATAACAACAGACATTAATTAGGCTACTTGACTTCAAACTTTAAATGTTTCTGACATGGATTTATTTCAATATTGAGTAATCCAGTATGATAAGCAAATGTATTTCTGCTTCAGTGTGGGTCAAAGAAAACAACTGAAACGATTCACAGACTCTGCAGACAGTCACAGATTGTGTGTAATGTTAGAATCAGCTGTTATTCTCTCTCATATATAGCTGTTAAATAAACAGAAAATATGAAACGGCCGAACGTTAGATGACACACGGTGTAATGTTCTGTTACCATGACGGTTTATTTGTGTCTCTAAGAGAGAGGGAGTGGAATACGTTGCACATTAATCCTGCCAATATAATTAACAGTTAATTCATAATCTTTATCTTCTCTTAATTACAATACTTAACATACATTGTTTCTAATTGTTGGCTACATGATAAATAGAAGGCTTCAAATAGAACCCGTGATCGGACCAATACTGCTTCCGAGCACCTTGACTAAAGATTTGTCTAGTGAACGAGGATAAAAGGTAGCTCTCGATTCACACAGCGCACTGATAGACAACACTTTACCTTTCTGAAACGAATCATCGGATGCTCTTTTGTCTTCGAGGCAGCTGAAATTCAAAACAAATAAACGTAGGATGAGTACACCTTTGTAAAATAATTTTCACGATTTTTGTCCTGGTTTGTTTTTGCCTCAGAACCATTCAGACATTTCACACTCAAAAACCAACATACCCCAACAGGTGGGACAGCAGGGCCTCTTCCTTTGTTTGTCATACCATGTGCCTGTGAAGGAAATATTACATTTGGCACAGACCCTGCAGAAGAAAGTGATAATGCTCAGTCCATGTGCATATAACAACATTTCACCACAAACAAACCCTTTTGACTGAATGGAAATACTCAACTGTTTTATTTATTACAGTTCCATTATTGAAAATTGAACTATGAACTGAAGTAATAATGGACTCACAGAGTGCTGTCTTCTGACCCAATTTCTCCATTTATGGAGGGAAGCAGGGCCGGCCTGGATGACGAGGGAAGGGGAATTTTAATTTTATCTTCGGCATGTGGATCCTCTTTGCGAGACTCTTGGTTTTGAGTTCCCATTGTACTGTGCATGGACACATATGTCTGGTTGGAGTGGAGGTTTTTGGGCCCCAGATTGAGGGTGAGTCTGTGGTGGGAGTCTGGGGTGTCAGCTCCATCCCCTCTGTCAATCCAGCTGGACTCTGAGGAAGAACGCTCCCGGATCTTTCTCTGATGGACGACAAAGTGAGGAAAACTAACTGCTGAGACCGTCACATCTTAAATCTTTAAACTGCTAAAAGAGGTCAATACCTTCGCTCTGCTTCGAACTCTTATGGGTGGTGCTTCGCCATCGAGGAACTTTCCGGTCTTGTACTCAAAGGTTGACAAGTCAAGAAACCCCTCCATCACTGAAATCAGTTCTACTCTGCTTCTCACTCGATCACCCCTCGGACTGCGGAGAAAAATAGCGATAACAAAAAAGAGCTGGATGTCACCTGCTAAAACTACAACATCCAGTCACATGCTTCAGCATCTTCAGTCCTAATGGCAGTTAGGAAAAAAAAATGCATTTATTCATCTATTTCTGAAATTATCAGCACGAGGAATGTGTTTCTGTTTGTAGTAGTCACTTAAAATTGATTTTCTAAGATGTTTCACCCCCCTGTTAGAAGCAAGTAATTTCTGCACCGCTGCTGTCATGGTAACGCAACATTAGACCATGTGTCATCTAATGGTCGGCCGTTTATATTTTCTGTTCAGTTCAACGGCCACGCTTAAACTGACTTCTACTATTTTTTTTGATTCGGCATCTGACTAATAAGGTCTGTTATTATTATTAATATCAGCAGCAGCAGTGATGGCATATTAAAATCAGTCTATTATCATTATTCAAATGTGCTTTATCTGTCTCTGTTTAAGGATGATTGAATAAAATAATGAAATTAATAATGAAATAATAAAATATTTCATTATTAATGAGACAAGTTTTTGATATTTATTTTGGATAAAATTGTTATATTATTCAAGTAATAAAAAGTCATCTTTAGAATAATCACAAAATTTAGATTAATTGATTTGAAACACTTGCTAGGTGCATCCCTAAAAGAACCAAGTGGAGGTAGGAGTGTAAATAGTACAAGAGTCAAAGGCAGGATGTAGTTAAAAACTAGTGCAATCTCAACAGTTTAACTACTTTCAACACAACATTGTTGACCGCAAAATAAATACAGTATGATGAAGTATGCTCTGCCCCACACTATAATTTCTGTTATTGTTGAAGCAAACTGCGTTTTTACTATATAATCAACAGGGGTAGGTGGTTTTGTAAGATGACGTAAGAAAACCATATTTAATTTTCTTTTTACTCTTATAATAATTCCATATCGACTTATTTTTATTTTATAAGTTTGTGTTACTTTGTATTTCTCACTTATGTAAGTATTTATGGACAGACCAGAAGAATCCCGGAATCTGGTATCACCAAGCTAGCAGAGCAAGCTGGCTAAGTGACCAGGCCCTGTATGACAGAAGTACACAGCTAAAACAAAGAGCTGATGAAGAAATAGCCAAGCGTCAGGGAGAAGTGATATCCCCACATATCATTGTAATATCCACAAGAAATGAAGTGTTGCAGATTTTATACAAATTTTCACACAAACCTCTGGTTCATTGTAGAGAAAATTGTTCTGCTTTTATTTTTATGCAATAAATATAATGAAATAAACATAAGATATATTTATAAAGAAGAGGCTACTTTTCCCCCCTTTTCTGTAACTGTATGTGGGGATGAGGGTCAACAGGGTACGACTGTAAAACAGTGGTCCCTTAAGCCAAAGGTTGGGAACCGGTGTTTCCCCACATAAACAATTTACTTGGGCGAGACGCCCAGGTACATTTGGTGTAACATTTTAGCATTTTGCAGAGAAACACAGAGACATTATTTGGTATTTTGTTACAAGAGGCGGACAAGTTGAAAATTTTACAAGCATGGACAGGTAAAGCAGCAGTGAACAGTGAACACACCAGTGCAGATGTCCCTCGGTACTACGTTGGTTTCGATTGTTTCAATAGCCTACGTCATTAACAAGCCTTCTACATGCAGCGCACCTGCTGCTTTAAAAACTGGATCGCAGGTGGAAAAATCCGAAAGATGACTTCTGTCTTTTCAGCGACTTTATGAAGCACACTGCTGATGGAGAAAGTCAGCAGAGCTGACAGATGCAGGGAGAGAGAGACAGCGCACATGTGGGGGGAAAAAAGAGACCCTAAGGGAAAAGGTAGGTGAGCTGATTCAAGTAGGGAGTAAACACTAAAAAGCTAAAATAAGAATGAAGTAGAATTAAAATAGTGAAACAAAAAACAAATAAAAATCTACCCCGCTAACACAGGCCAAGACCTGTGGCCTGAACAATTTCAACTTCATCCAAGATAAAAGAAAAAGAATTTCCCTTTAAAATAAACACATCTAGGTTATGTATTTGAATCAAAGCAAATATATTATTTGCAAAGACAACGTAAAACACTGATGATCATAAAGTGTATATATAAATACATGAACATAAAAGAACATACAGGTCATCCTGTCATGCAGATGCTAGGCTTATATAACCAGGGTTGTTTTTGTGAGAGAAAATATGAGACCAACCAGAAACATCCAATCCAATCAGGAGGAGCTAAGTATGAGAGGTACATAAACTGATGCCGGGAGAAATGTTGTTTTCTGAATCCAGACCCTTCATATATCAGATTTGTATTGACACAATTTGAAGAATAAAGCATCTTATACCACAGAAATGTCTTCTGTTTCTCTGTGTTTGGTTCCTACAAACTGTACTACAAAGGGAGTTCAACCTACTCGGAGTTAACAAATTCAGGGTTGACAAACTCTGACCGCCTACACTGGAGTTAAACAGTACTACAAAGGTGAATAAGATGTTGGTTAGTTGAGTCCGTGTTAACCCAGTGTTAACTTAATTGGAGTTGGTGCGCGCTCACATAAAAGAGGTTTGTTCGGTCGTGCAGGCAGAGTGTTTTTGCAACTCGCATGCACCGTATTTTCCCCAGAAGTCTGCATGTTGGTAGTGTCAGGAAATTATGAATGTAAAGACACGTTAACGGCTAAATCTAATATTGTGGCGGCTGACAAAGCCAGGGAGGCTTGTTGGCATCGCATTGAGTAAATTTGTAGCCTAATTATCTTCACAGTGTTCTTATTGTAGTTCAAATCTCTATTATGTATTTTATGGGCTCTTCTTTTATGTGTAAGATGATTAAGATGTTAAGGTACAACTGCACATGAGGTCCATTGTAATAGAAAAAAGGAGAGGGTCAATAATCGTAGAGAAAATCTAATTTCTAAGATTAATCTACAAGTAAAAAACTTGACTATTCTTTGACATTATAGTCACACATTTATGAGAGAAACTTCACTTTGCAAGGCTGCAACAACACACACACACACACACACACACACCCACCCACCCCTGCCGTGTAGTAGGCCTGTGTATGCATTGGAAAGTTATATTACTTTGCAATCTGACTTAGCAGTGAGGAAATACTCCTGAGTTTAGCCCACAATCACTATCATGCACCTTAAAAGATTTTGTCTTGGATTGGGTGTATTCAGAAGAAAACAGTGTGATTTTCAATTTTTTGTGACATTAATTTCAGGGAATTTCCGATTTTTCTTATTGTAAATTTCACACTTTCATCAAGGATCTTTTTTTCCCCCCTCTGTTATTAACCCTCACCCTGGCTCCCTATTTTTTGGACACGTAAAATAGTCTATCTAAATATGGAGAATTCAATTAGCTATAGTCTACAGATGGGCTACATCTAAGAAACTATCCCATTAATTAATTAAGATTTCTCTCTAAAATCACTGAGGCTGCAGGGCTCGCTGTCTGAACGTAATGCTGTTGTGTTCAGAACTTCATTGCAACCGCAGTGGAACAAATCAGGATGAAATCTAAACATATTTTATGAAGTGGCATGGATTAATATCCTACTTCTTATCATTAACACTGAGTACCGATGCGGTGTGTAGTCCACGTGCAGGATAACCTCGAGTTAACCATGAACAAAACTTGCTTGGAGCAGTTTAGAGATGTGGCGTAAATTGCCATGGCAACAGACCTCAGGTAACACCTATCCACCTTTCGTAGTACGGGTTAACCGGAAAGTTACACCCAACGTCACAAAGTTACTCATGAAGTTACCTGGATAAGCCAGTTACCTCGCTTCGTAGTACAGGCCACAGGTAGTGGTGATTTATTTACTTACACTTATTGAAGGTTAAACAAGAAGAAAATTAAGCACGACACTATCCAGTATTTACCTCATGTAATACACATCCTTCTGTCCCATGCTACTACCGGAGCGCCGAACAACTTCTTTGCGTTTCCAACCCTCTCCAAGTATTGGCCAGTCAACCCATCCTTCATCAGGATGTGAACGCTTACGGCGGGGAACCTGAAGCCTGGATATAACAGAGGAAATGGGAAATTATTCATGTTAGAAATCTGTATAACCCATGGCAAAAAAAAAAGTACACAGGAAGCCATCCTAGAAAATGTTAATATGCTAAGCTATGTGAGTTAATTTTCTTTCAATAGATTGAGGCACAAAGTTACCTGCAGGTTTTAGATGGGATGATTATTTAAACAAATACAAAGACATTCAAAATCATTGGCAGTTCCTCAGAATTGATAAAGATCATTATGTGGCCCTTGTGCCTGGGCATGGCCATAAAAATCTAAATGTAATCCAAAGATAATGCTGCTCAGTGTCCAGACTACGGTACGGCATATAAAGGCTCTGCAGACAACCAAAACGTTGAATGAACATCTTATGTGACAGCATACTGCACTATTTTTACATGACAGACTTGAGTAAAACAACATTATTCAACCTACTGATAAATCTTGGTCAAGTTCTTCTCGGTGCCCAACACACTCTCACTCCTTTCACTTTCCCCTGCCAGGCTTTCTTCCTCTGCATCATTCCTATCAAGGCTATTGGCATCATCATCCTCCTCAAGTGGCTCAAACCAGTCAACAGGAGGCTCGCCACCAGTGGCCTTAGCTTCCATTGCCTCTCCCGGAATTTCCTCTACTGGATCTGAGCTAGGATTTTCCTTCATACAGAGTCTGTCTGAGGGTGCCAAAGGCTCCAGTGCTGGTGCTGCCTCAGAGGCGTTTTCTGCTTCACTGGTCTTCTTCTCTGTGCTTTGTCCCACATCTTCTTCCACAGGCTCTTGGCCAGGGGCCGCGTTCTCAAGTAGTTCCTCGTTCATTCCTGCACCAATTTAGGCGACAAATGGTCCAACGTGTTTCTCTGGAGACAAATAAGATACTCTACAATCGATCCTGGATACCATTCACAGTGGTGTATTTTCGCATTGTCCGTCGTGGATGTATTAGTTAGCCCTTGACCTTGGTTTGGGAAGGAGGCTGAGCTGTCAGGGTGATTGACAGTTGCTCACTTTTTCATCACTGCACCTGGGGGAAAAGAGAACGTTGTTTAGGACCAGAGTTCTAACACGCCGATGTACAGTTCAGTATGTTAACGGTTAACCTAGCTTAATGGATATGTCACTGTAAGGTGTTGTTAGCTTAAAACAACGAGCTACTCGATAGTAACGTGACTTAACGAGCAGACATTCACGTATGGTTAACACATCATTTAAAATTATTAACCACGCAAACTAACTGACGTTACAAACACGGGATGCATGCCCCGATCTAGATGGAAAGCTTCCGTAAATACATAGCTACCGCATTTCCACGGCCAGTTAGCTAACGTTACCGTTACCACTGGTATGTGGCGTTAGCCAGCAAACACAACGTTAGCGACACTAGCTAACCTCAACTGCTGAAAGTGCGGTTACTGCTGAAAGTGCTCCGATTGTCGGATGTTGCTGCCGATTATTTCTTAATAGTAGTTACGTAGACATACTACATAAAACAAGCAGTGCAATGTCAATAAAGTTACTACTTACGTTAGGTTAGCTGGAGCGTGAACACTGAAACTCAATAGCAGCAGTAACGTTAGCCACCGTTAGCTATAACGTTAGCGTCCCCCCCATCTAATGTTAATGTTGTGCCTAAATTATTCCTCTGAGTTAGCAGTTGTGTATCGCTACTACTTTACAAATAATGGCGGTGAGGTGCACCTACAAACACACACACACACACCTTTAAAGTAGGGCTCCCCAGATGCTTGGCACTCTGGTCACAATAGGCACCGCTTCACTTTACGAGATAGTGCTGACGTAGCTAGCCACCGCGCATCAATAACGAAAACGGCGGCGGGGCCAACGATTAAAAGAACAGGGTCTGTCTGCAGTCTCGCAGGCTATACAACACACCCACTTCACCACCATACGACACGTCCCCTGATATAACTTCCTACTTTGACTAACCTTAACCTTGTTTTAACCCAAACTATGACCTTTTCCTAACCAAGTCGACGACGCTGAAATCAGCTACCGATTCACAGCTTCCGATTCGGCAGTTAAGTGGAAAGTTAATTTACATTACGTTTTTTTGCACCTCTTACTGCTGTGAAAGCTGTTTGGCATTTTAGGCAAAGCCTTAACGCTATCTGAAACACTTTTTTAGACTTGGAAAAAACGTTATTTTATTTGTGAAAATGAAAAAAGGGAGATTTATCTGTTGTTGGGGGTTTTTTTGCTTGTAGACCACATCAGACCTGGTCCAGATACAAAACCACTATGCCTAGAGATCTCAAATCTGAACTAGATTGTCCCAGAGACACGTTTCTTTAAAACATATTTTCAGATTTGTGAAACCTTTATTCAATTTGTGAAAATAACGTTACTTAAAAGGGCGATTTATCTGCTTTTTTGTATGTAGACCACATTAGACCAGGTCCACATATAAAAAAACACTGTACCTAGAGTTTTCAGATCTGGACTAGATTATTCCACAGACGCTAACGTTTCAATCAAACATAAGTTTCAGATTTGTGAAAACTTTTTTCTTTTTGTGATAATACTATAAAGGCGATTTAACCATTAGAGTTCTCAAATCTGGACTTTGCCTAAAATGCCGAACAGCTTTCACAGCAGTAAGAGGTGCAAAAAACGGACAACAGTCGCTCAGCAAGGTAATTTAACTTTCACTTAAGTTCCCCTTAACTGCCGAATCGGAAGCTCACTTCAGCGTAGTGTACTTCTGATACTTTTCGGCGCTTGACCAAACTGCGTCTGAAACTTTCTTCGTTTCACAAACAAATGCTACTGACTTGGTCCCTAATTTACAAGCACAACTTCACTCCCCATAGGTTTTATATCTGGAACAACAGATATATTTTGTATAAAAACAAATCTGTTTTTTTTTTCAACAGTGATATGACAATAATATTTTACTTGTAAATCAATTATTTAACCAGCGTGGTCAACTTTATAACTACATTGAATTTATTCATCACCATGGTATCCCTGTTTCACCAAAGGACTTCTCCATCGTCTTCGATGCGATACCTTCAGCTGTCATCTCACTTTTCAAAGGTTTTAATGGATTTGATGATCCCCCAACACTGGTGGTTGTGAAAGAAACAACTGTTGGGAATATATGTTTTTCACTGCAACCTAAAAGTAAGAACAAGGCCATTCGTCAACTTTTTCAACAGGACATTAGGAGTACACCCGCTGCTGTATCATATTGGTCTTCATTTGTTGGAGAGATTTGTTGGGAAAAAGTTTGGCTTTTGCCACACAAGTTTTTTTTAACCTACAAAGTCAAAGAGATCTCATTCAAAATGCTTCACAGATCTTATCCCACTAACGGTTACCTGCAAAAACTGAAAAAGGACTTGGACATCAGCTGTACTTTCTGTGGAGAACTCAATGAAACACTGGTGCATTTATTTTGGTCTTTCCCACATACCAAGAAACTTTGGAGTAAAGTTTCTCTATTTATTTTTGTCCATATTTACCCTCAATTTGCATTGCGGTGGGAAAATGTATTGTTTGGATTCACTAAACATGACAAAAAATTATATTCAGAATATTATGTGATCAATTTACTTATTATTTTAACTAAATTTTATTTGCACAAGTCAAAATTCTTAAAAAAGAAACCAAGCTTTTTGGAGCTTGCTGCTAACATTAAGCACTATGTTCTTTCAATATCCAAGTGTAAAAACAAAAAAGCTGTTAAATCATATGGCCTCTGTAAGCTTTACAAGATATTTAATTTTTTTTTTTGCTTTTGTTAAAATTATACTTTTTTTCCATAACCCTTGACCTCCCTGGCCTATTTGTGATATGTCCATAGACTTTACCGATGTACAGAAGATGTTGTTTTCCTTCTGTATATCCTAATTTTGAATAAAGTTTTTTGAAAAAAAAATTCAGTCAATGGATTCAGTCAAATCCATGGATGCTTCTGACCCCGCTTACAGATTAAACAACACATAGGCTACTTCTCATTAACAAATACAACACAAACATTTCATTCAAACATTCTTTAGGAGAGAGAAGTAAGATGAGGAATAGCGTACACAAAAGTAAAAACTAGGGAGTGATTTCTCTCTTCCTGCCAGCACCATCTTTATTAATATGCTTCATCTTTGTTGTTTAAGTGTGCTGCTTTCACGGGGTATTAGAAAGTGAGCACATGAGACCGCTGGGAGCATCGTGTTTGTCTGTAATCATAATTGATGGATAATCCCGGGGTTGTCTTGGCAGCGCATGGATTAGAAACCATTATATGCAATTAAAATTAACAATGTTTTATGTAAAATCATAGTTTGGCTCTTTATGTAAACAATATTGTATGTCTCTAAAGCACAGGTTTTGGTCAGAGAAGCATACATTTAGGAGGTGCACTTGAAGGAAACCGTGCTTATTCAAATGAAACACAATTAACTCACTCTTAAATATAAGTTGGCTTACATTAATAGTTTTATTATCTGTTGGAGAAAGTAAAAAAAAAAAAAGACAAACTGACCTTTGTGTAAAGGGTAAATGAAAGTAACATAGAACAACATACTATATATAGTATACTTTACACACACACATACATCACCTGGAGCATGTTTGAGGTGTTTATTTAGAGCCATCATACCAAAAACAGCAGTTTTCAATCAGCAGTAGTTCATCTACCACAGTCAGGAAAAATATGGATCCATTTACCTTTTATAGTTTAGTATCATACAAAGATAAAAAAAAATTCTAGTTATAAAATCATCCACATGGATGTTATTGTTCTACAAGTTTAAATCTTCAACACTCAAATCTCACGTTATGTACAGTGTTCGACAGACTGATGCAGACTAGGTCGACTACCTATCCTTGTTGCACCGCAGATCGGTTGTCAGCGGGTCGTGCTGAATGGTTTGGTGCAACATCAGAGCGAGAAGGCCAGCTCTGTTGGTCATAGCAGTCCTGACGTTACGCTCCTGTTCAAAGAGCTCGTCCAACTTGTACCACTGTGGGTGAAAAAATAAACCCGTTAGAAGAATAGATTTAATCTTTAAAATCACTCACTCGTGGGTTGAGGACTACAATGCATTTCCTTTGAATATATCTAATTTCAGATAGGAGATATCAACAGAGACTCTTCCTAATCTGATCGGACAGATGCAAATTTCACCAAATGTGAGACTTTTGACGTTCCAAGTTGTAATTCCGCAGAAGGTCCAGGAAATGTCACAAGTTTGGTCACTAAAAACAAACTACAGTCTCAAAGTTTGACTTACCACCCTCACTCGTTCCAAGTCCACCTCTGCTCTCCTGAGCTTTTCCCAGTTGTAATGTTTGTTGCATTTCCTTTTAGAGACCCTGCAGTAATCTCCCGTCAGCTCAAACACATTCTTCACCAGAGGACACCCACACACCTCATCCACTGGGACCTAGTCACCGAACAAAAGAAAACAAATAATCGCCACACAAACGCTACTTGATGAATAGTTCAAGTTTTATATAGTGAGTAGGTAGTTTTTTTGTGAAACATGAGTTTTATAAGTGGCTGAGGGGCTTCCACTGACCTTAGGATCTCTGGAATGCTCTGGACACAAAACCTGAAGCCTCTTACAATATGTTTTGCTTTGGGGATTGTACACATCGCAGAAGAGTCTGGTTGCTCTGTGGGACAAAAACATTGTTGTTGAAGCAACTGAACTAGGGGAAATAGTTGCACACGTTGAGTGTTTGCTTTTCTTACCCTTCTATTCTTGTAGGGTACATAGAACCAAAGGAGGTCTGACTCTCATACTGCCAAGATAATCAGTGGAGAAAGAAATGTTGCAGACATAAGGTTCTGTTCATGCTTAAATCTGGTGATTAGAAGCAGAAACAAGAAAAATAATTACCTTTGCGTAACATCTCTCCATATGTCTCAGTGCCACTTTTGGATTGATGGGATGACTACAAGACACACAGAAAATCTGCAGGTCTGTGTCCTCGCTATCACCTTCATTCACCTGCAAACGACCAGAGCAAAATTAAAGTTCACCCTGACACACAGGGATCTATTGCGTTACAACAGAACAAGCCGCGCAACTGAATAAACAAGCGCGCAGACTTCTGCCAGCTCACCTCCTCGTCCTGCTGAACCGCCTGCTGCTTGGCCTTAGCGATGATGCCTTCCAGTTCGTGGAAGCGTCGCTCCATCTCTGTAAGGCGGAGCCGGGCGTTCTGCTGTTCCCGACGGATGCGCTCCAGCTGCTTCTTACCATGCTCCTCAGCGATGCATGGACTCTGCTGCCACTGCTGTATGCGCTGAGGGAGGATCTCATAGATCCGGCTGTGGATGAAAATTCACGCAGATTAACGCATTTTAAGGCTAAAAAAAGAACAACATGCTCAGGATTTCCCTTTGATCCTCATTTAGAAAGCTGAGAGGAAAAGCCTCAGAGAAACTATCCATAAAACACTTCAACAAGGAGATAGACAAAGGCAGAAGTAGAATAAATAAATAGTGATAGTTATTCTTTTCAAATTGTGAGCTTAAAAATAAGTTCATGTCCATAAGTTCCCAACAGAAGCATACATCATACTAATAAATCACACAATATATAAGAAATCAAAAAACTGCACCATTTTAACCAGCATGTAATTATTTTACCACTAGGTGGAGCAATAGCACTATCATTTGAATACAAACAGCCATAAGAAAGCAGTTTTTGACCATGACCTTTACTATGGGACCTTATTTCGGAAAAATATATGTACGGTAGTCAATGGCGAGACACTTATTTTTTGATCCTGTTTGAACTGTGTCCTGAATTACATATATGATGTCTGTCAATTTTAAAAGATACTTTTGTCCGTCAAGAAAGTTGCAGTTGGTCGTAAATCAGTAAAGTTAAGGCTTGCGCAGACTACACGACTTTCAGCGTCGGCCGACTTGCCGTCTTGTGACGGGAGTCTTGATGTCGTTGTGACGTTCACACAACGTGACTGATCGGTGATGGGGGGTCACACAATACAGGAGCTGACAGCGGCTGCGTCACTCGAATATACATTACCAACATGTTAATGTGGTAATGCTAGCTAACGTTCATTGCTTGGTTGCTGCTAGCTAGATAACTTAGCTATGTTCCACGCAGAAATCTCTCTCCAGATGTGTTTAATCCAACAACTTTCGGGCACTGTATCTAGGGCTGGGCGATTTGGCCAAAAATGTTTTCATGATAAAAGAAAAAAATGTCATACCATTCGACATCGATGATTATCACGATAAATGTCAAATCATTATTTCTTTGAAGTTTAAAGGCTGTTTTGCTCCTGAGTGAAAATTAAGAAACCAGATGATTAACTGTGTGATTAAACTTTTCTTTATGGTCAGAATGTGACAAACACTTGATGCCAAACTGTGGGTCACTTCACAAGTCTGAGGTAGAACATTCAAAACCATTATGATAAAAATCTTTTTTCAAAAAATACGATTAGTAAATGTTTTTTTCAGCCCCTTTTCCTCAACAAAATAAATCTTAATACAAAACTTAAGTGCTAATTCGTTTGTGGTCCAAATTAATTCAAACATTTGTTGACGATATATTGAACATTTGTTATTGAAGAAAATGATATTGCCATATTATTGTTTTATTGCTCAGCCTTAATT